CTGCAAGTGTTGGTGATACCCCACTTCTACCAAAATTGTCAACCAGTTTCTTAATAGAAACTTTCACCTTGTCTACCCCGTATATGTAACCTAAAAAAAAAAAAAAAAAAAAAATCATTCAAAAATTTGTTTTATAACTTTAAAATAAACCAACCAATATAGTTTAGATATACTTGTACCTTTTTGTTTGATCCTTAGTAAATATCTTAAAGAAACTTCAGGTGAGCTATTAGTATTTAGTTTTTAATGATGATCATAAGTTTTCCAAAAAGACTGAATTATTTCTACAAGCAAGTTTTTGTGACGTACACACAGAGATCAAAAGTAGTTACAGAACAAAATAAAGTTTGTTAAATCCTGCAACTTTATATATAATGATTCTGCAACTGTTGTGTATCTTACATTTGAACATTTATAAATATAATTAGTTTTCAGTTTTACACATTTATAATTAGCATCAGCTCCCTCCCAATAAAATCTTTTTTCTCCCACCAGTTTTCAGAACAAAATAGCATTTATCACTCAAAGTTACCTGAAAAACATTTCATTGTTATTAAAGGATCTAATACTAATATGTAACATAGAGCTTAGAGTCAAACTTACATCATCCAGAAAATTTACAAGAATGTTAAATAATTGTTAAGTTAATATAGACAGCTTAAACTATATACATCTAAACAATGATATAAACATCTACAAGTTTCCATAATGTACTTTACACAGACAGCTTATACCATATACATCTAAACAATGATATAAACATCTACAAGTTTCCATAATGTACTTTACACAGACAGCTTACACCATATACATATAAACAATGATATAAACATCTACAAGTTTCTATAATGTACTTTACACAGACAGCTTAAACTATATACACCTAAACAATGATATAAACATCTACACGTTTCCATAATGTACTTTACAAGACAGCTTACACCATATACATCTAAACAATGATATAAACATCTACAAGTTTCCATAATGTACTTTACACAGACAGCTTACACCATATACATCTAAACAATGAATACAAATATCTACAAGTTTCCATAATGTATTTTGCAAAGACAGCTTACACATATACATCTAAACAATGATACAAACATCTACAAGTTTCCATAATGTACTTTACAAAGACAGCTTACACCATATACATCTAAACAATGATATAAACATCTACAAGCTTCCATAATGTACTTTACATAGACAGCTTACACCATATACATCCAAACAATGATACAAACATCTACAAGTTTCCATAATGTACTTTACACAGACAGCTTACACCATGTACATCTAAACAATGATATAAATATCTACAAGTTTCCATAATGTACTTTACTCAGACAGCTTACACCATATACATCTAAACAATGATACAAACATCTACAAGTTTCTATAATGTACTTTACTCAGACAGCTTA